TATGCTTCAAATGATATTTTGGTTTTGGGAAGAATAGCACGTGCAACATTTGCCACCAAAATACTAATTTTGCACTTAAACATTATAAACGCTATGAGCCACTTTTGCTTGATAATAAAAAGGTTGTTCGCGTCTAATAAAGTACCTTAATTTTTACTACCACATATTTTGTCACTATATTGTGTTTGTCATTGTGAAGACAGTGTCAGTGATTGAATTGTCAGTCACATATTTTACTTTTCCTATCTGAAATGTTCAGACAATCTGCTCTTTGTGGTTTCTAAACTCGTCTGCATACAAAACAATTTAGCATTCTTGAGCACCAGCTCTCTGTACAAACAATCTCCACATTCGTCTCCATGAGCTGACATTTTGTATAAACTGGCACTAAAAATCTGAATATCTTAATAAATCAGCTCTACAAAGTGTTCAATATGTTGTGAGGGTGGGAGAATAAAGATTAAGTTGTGCAAAATGCAAAAACGTGAGTCCAAAGTGTCGATGTGACTTTCTGTGCAGAGGCTTATAAAAGTGAAGGTCTGGACTCCAACGCAGTGTTTCCTCAACCTGCAGCTAGATGGAAATCAATCACAACACACACAAAAAAACCCTTGTCTAATCTTAAATAAGGTCATTTTGGTAACAACGGCCATCTTGCATTGAAACGTCCCATTGAATCATCAAGAACTTGGCTTTAAATGAACATAAAATCCTCTTGTAAAACCCCGTTTGCACGTTTACATGCTGATGGTGAGCTTTTAGGACTTATGGGGGAATATCTCGAGCATCATGTGCAGTTTACTGTGGTAATGAGGGGGTTAAAATTCAAACACAAGTTTGCTTAAATTAGAAATACAAATGAGAACCTGCAGAGGAGTCCTCTGGAATTAATGTTGAGCAAACGCCGACTTTATCCTTTTATACAAATCTCCTTTACGTTTCTGATCCCACGCCGAGATTCTTTTACTAAAAATAGGGGTATGATTGAAATTTTAATGTAATTGCATTTAAAGCTTTTTTTTTTATTATTATTATTTTCAAAAACATGCTTGTGTGTGTGTGTGTGTCTGCACAAGCTTTCAATTTCATGCATTGGCTGTGCCAGTCATGCTCCAGATGATCTTTTGTCTTCACCAACAGGACGTACGATATGAATTAGCAGATTGTTTTTGGCCCAGCGCTCGCACCTTAAAACGTGTTATGCACGCACTTCTTTTGTCTAAAAATAAAATCCAACAGATTTGTAAAACACAAATATAAATAAATAAACCCAGTGTTATTTAGTCAAAGTGAAGGCAGAAGTGCACGGGATGCAGGTTTTAAATACAGTGCCGATGCTCTGGTTAGGCCATATGTCACTACAGTTCAAGCAGTCATTGTGTAAGCTCCCCCCAACACAAACACACACACTTACCTCCCCCCGCCTCCCCAGATTTAGATCATGTCAATCCAACCATGATGAACATAACAGGAAATTTAGGTTAAGTGTACTTTAAACAGATTTTAATGTTCTTATTATAGTCTGCATTGTTTGCATCTAAACATATCTCTACAGTGATAAATCACACATGATTATTCACACTGCAACATGGACATATAATAACTGTTAAACTGTAGATATTAAAAATATATTGTTTAATCATAGTTGCTCCTGCTTTACTTAAGCCAACTAAAAGTTTTGGATCTAATTCATTAGTCGTGCATATTTTCTAAGTACAAATCCTTTCGTGGTTAGCAGTTACAGATGGTTGCTCTCCTGCCTATAGCCTGTTTTATGTTTGCAAATCAAGGACAATGAACGTGTCTATCCTTAATATCCAAGAGGCCTTTATTTGTGTGGATGTGGGCGGGGCCATAGGCTGTCAATCATCAACGCTTCATTGATCAGGGACAATCCTTGTCGTAAAAATGGTCTTTTTCTTAAGAAATTACTCACTCCGCATTAATTATCACTCTGCTTGATGTGCTTTATGAATATGTGTGTGCACGTACATGCACATATTGTTTGGTGTGCATGTGTTGACTACTCCATGGCACACACTGGATATTTTAAGATCAAATTCGAGCACTTTCCGCTAAAATTCTAACATTCAGTGCAACAGAAAATGAAAGCAGTCTCACATTTTAATTTGTTTTAAAAAAAAAAATCCTACATGATCAAATAAATGACAAAAATTCAACATTTGTCGGTTTTATTTTTCAAAGAAGCATTAACAATTAAGAGGTATTTATTCATTCATTCAACAGTTAAATAAAAACTTGCAATTTATTTTTAAAAAAGTTTGAAATTACACACAAAAATAAAGGTACAATTATCACAAGGTTTGATTATGTTTAAAGCCACCTAAATGTTTTCCACACATAACAATTAAAGCAAAAAAAAAAAAAAAAAGCATGAATATATTTAAATGCCTCAAGCAACGTAAATAAATAAATAAATAAATAAATTACAGAAGATAGTAAAACGTGAATTATATATTAGGATTAATGCAGCAAGAAGTAAACCAAAACAACTCCAAATATTATTTTTTTTAATTGTGTTTTGGGGTAATTTAGAAAAATTAAATTCTCACAGAAACACCCCCCACCATCACCAACAAATAAATAAATAAATAAAAATAATAAAATAAAAAAAATCCGTATTTTTTCACGTTTAAAAGTTTGTGTTGTTGCCTTGTTTACACCCTAATCTGTGCATTTATCTAAAAAAAAAAAAAAAAAATACGCAGCTTTAATACAAACAGCAGGAAACTCTGTTATGCAACTAACTAGAAGTGACTTTAATCAAATGACGCAGATTTTGGTTTGTTTCTTGGTATTTTCTCCGACCAACCTCAGCTCGTCTCCATGCAGACAGGATCCGGTCTGTGGCTCCTCCGCGGCTCAAACGCTTCACTTGTTTTCACAACTTTGCACAAAGATTAAAGTATCGCTCTAGAGCACGTTTAGACACGAAGGAACCTCGATTCTTTTAAACCTGCAGCACATAATTTCTCCCTCTCCTGCAGCGAGCATTCCCTTTGATTCACGCTTGGCTCGTACGGCTCCCGGGGCCAACAGGGGTCCCGCCTTCGGGGCGCCTTGAAACCGTCGCACTTTATCCCGCGGAACGCCTTGAAACTGCGCGGACAGTTATTGCTTCTTCCCCCCCCCCCCTTCGTCAGGACTGCCCAATGCGGACTGGCCAACAGCCAATCAGAATCTTGTTTACATTCTGTGACTGACAATGACCTGGCGCGGCTCCAGCCAATCAGATGACGGCATACAGAGAGGGGGGGATTCATTTGTAAACATTAGGTGTAATAACCAAAGTCCATGGTAATAACATGTCAAGAGATATTGGAATTGCTTTCTTGTTTGTGGGATTTAGTGCAGAGCTTTAATAAATGAGTTCTGAAACTATTTGTAAAAAATAAAAATCCTCTTATTTCCAAAGACCCTGTGGAAACAAAAGTATTAATTCTTCAGTTTCTATCTATCTATCTATCTATCTATCTATCTATCTATCTATCTATCT